GGCCTGCAGCTCAGCTCAAACATAGAGCCACCTGGGAAGTGGTGGTGCCGGTGGATTTGGGGGGGGGGGTTGATAGCATAAAGCGCTAATTGTTTTTGGAGTGGGCGGGACTTGCCGGCATCTTCTGTCCCCTTTGTCCTTGGCGCGGCGGTGGCGACGGCGTGTGTAATTAGCATGTGTGCAAGCTCAGCTCCTGGCGCAATTCCAGCACGTCTCACAAAAGCGCCGATACGGCTGAAGAATGTTATCACCGGCGGGCCGCTCCGGTGGGGGCTGCTCGGTGGGGGCCGCTCGGGTGGGGGTCACTCCTGCGCCTCCTCGCCCCCGTACTGCACCCCCGCCGGTATCTTGAGTGAAGCTGGTTGGGGTTCAGGCGGGAGCCCCTCCTCACGTACCGCTGTTTCTGGGGCCTCCCCTCCTGAAATGCGGCCTGCAGGGGGGGGGAGTGGAGTCCTGTCCTCCGCCATGACATGTTTGTTCACAATTCTGTTTTATTACCTCGTCAGTTCTGTCTAGTTCACTTGTTTTTTCTCTTTTTTTTTTTGCTATGTAAAAGTTGCAGCTTTCTTTGTGCTGGAGTTCAGAATTACCTAAATTGCACGATCTTCCCTGTGGGGTGACGTGGAGCCCCGTAAAATACCCATGATCCGTCCGTATTATCGTTGCTTGTGTTTGATACACTGGATTTGCTTGCACTTTTATTGGCATATAACCGGTTTGTTGTTTTTCCCATTTTCTGAGTATGGGACACCTCGTGCCCTGGGACATCACTTGGAAGGGTCATTACCGTGTGCGTCTGTTTGTGGCAGGTTGGGGGGTTGCAAGGTGGGGGGGAAATTTTGTACCGCAGCCTCTCCTCAGTTTCTATGCCCTTGTGAGAGTGAGAACCCCGCCCCCCTCCATTCGCCACTGCCTACTGGTAGCCCCTCCCCTTCCCGGTGTTGCCATGCTGGGGTGGGGGGGGCTGACTCAGCAGTTGCGCTTTGCGGGGGGGAGGTGTCGGATGATTCACCGTGCGGCGTATCTTCCAGAGCGAGCCCTTTCGGTACCGTCCTGCCGGTAACTGCGGCGTGCTTTTCTGGGTCACATTGGCCTCGTCCATCACGGAAAGTTCTGGAACTGGGTGGCACATACACATACGCTGACACATTAAAAAAAAGAGGAGGATGGTAAAAAGATAACTCTTTAACGAGAGGATGGCATGAGGTGGCCATTTTACCCTTCCAATGTGTGTTACCCTCCAGTCCCCGGTTGCGAAATTGTACATGTCTGTGCCAAACATGGAGCTGGTCCTGATTGACCCTGCAGAATTCCGGCATTCCCATCTTTCAAGAGACTGCTGTGCCCCATGGTGGCGGTGGGGGGGGGGGCACTTTGTGAAAGCGAAACCGGAGATGTCATGAGCACCGTCGTGCTCATGAGACTTAATCACAGGGGGGGGGTTTTATTGCACATTTTGCAGGCTAATTATACACGCGTCTGTCATTGTGCTGCCGCTGTTGCTCCCCCCTGCCCCCGAGCATGAAAACAGCCCAGTGAGAGACTTGTGACCATGCTCTGAATCCAGCACCTGCCCGGATCTCGCCGGCTTCCGCCGGCATGCCTCTTCTGGGTCACTCTCGGGATGGCGAGCATTCGGCGGGGGCCGACTGACAGCCTGTCTGAGTCTCTGCCCATTGGAGCATGACCCTGCCTCCCAGGCCCCGCCCCTCCCTCATTCACCCTCTGCCTTAATAAGAGCAGAAACTGTATCCTAACGACAAAGGAATGGAAGGTGTCTCTAAAATACCCAAACGCCTGACCGTCTATCTCAAAGGGCTGGCATGGTGTTGTTTCGTTCGCAAGGCTATGGCGCTTGGTTTTGCTAACCGCTCTGCCTCCATGGGGCTCCACCATCCCCCTGCCGGGTCGGGGATCCGTTTTGGGATGAATTATCACTCTGTGGGTGCGCCTCCTCCGGGTCCCGTCAGTGACAGTATTAGTGTCGATACCAAATTCTGTTCGAGTCCAGGCAGGATCCTTATTATTTCTGAGAAGGGATGTTTAGAACATTCTCCTGGAGCAAGGCCACCTGGGATACAGATAGCAGGGCAGGAGTGCCGGCTTCCTGCTCCGAATACGATACAGGAGATGGTGTGAGGTAGCAGCTGGACCTGCTGTCTCCCATATTCCAGCACTTCACAGACACATCGGCCTGCCAGCGCGTCGTGGCTGAGGCTACGTCCTAACACCAGACAATTAGCTCGCTGTTGGAGTAACGAGGCGAACTATGTAGTCATGGGGGTTCATGATTGGTTTAAAACTGCCCCCCTCCCTTAAATATCACTGCCCCCTTCAGCTGGGCAAAAGCTGTGACAGATTTGCTGGGAGAGGGTTAAATGCATGAGTAAGATGGTTTCAGGCCACTGATTTAGGGCTAAAATGGAACGTCATCCCATCCAGGGTGTGCAGCCTGGGATAAGCTCCAAGCCTGACCAGAAAAAGTGGTTAAAAGGTGGGTGGTATGTCATAGAATCTTCCCTGGGTCCAGAGTCGCCCATAAAGTCCATATGGGGTGGCAGGGGGCTGGAGGCCCGGGGACGAGTGGAGCAGAGATTTGGCCCCCCAGCCAGCAGCAGGGACACGCCTCCTGGGGCCGGCCTGGTTGCGAGTCTCTTTTCACCCTAATTAATGTTTACTTCTGCCTTAGGAGCAACTGGTCTCCATGCCAGCACCATGTGTAGCGATGAAAGCCACACCAGCCACTGTGCGGTCTCCCCCCCCCCCCCCCC